CCTCGTCACTGCTGAAAGCCTCTTAAAAGACTCTGAAAAGTCTCTGAAAGCCTCTACCAAAAGACTTATTACAAATCTCAGGGATGGAACAAAATCTTCCACATTCAGGACATCTCATTGCACCTGCTGATTAAGCCTACGTGGATCCCCTGTTCAAGGAGAAACTGGTGCAGTATTTCCTCTGTCTGTAATCCAGTCTGCGCTGTGCGAGACTCTCTCCTGCGTTTGTTTGGCACATATTCCAAAGACAACCACACCTCACGGAAGTTTCCCGGACACTTGATAGCAGTGGCTAGTGAGTTACAGACAAGCAAGACAGATAACTGAATCTGTAATCAACACCTGGAGAAAAGATGAATCAGGATAAATATACCACCCCCTTTAGCACCCAAATAACGCTGGTAGCCAAACACTAAGCGTAACCAGAAGACACTTTCCAATCTTTGCCAAGAATATCAAAGGAAAAAGGCAGCTCTCCTTGAACATTTCCATTGACATATTTTTTCCTCTAGGTGTACTATTTTGCTGTAGGCAAACCAACGGTGCAGGCTGAACATAAACATATCTAGGCAGAGATTAGAAAGCTTCTAATCACCAAGAACGGTGAAGTTATTGAGTGGCTTCACAGCATGATTTACAGGGTAAATGGCTAATTTACCTGGCTAATTTAATGGCTAAACCTGGCTAATTTGAAGCTAGAGCTCAGTTACTTAGGATTGTAGGACAGGCTGTCCATCCCGCTGTACAGACCTTCACCCTTCAGACAAAGATTTCAACTCTGCTCTCATGGGAAGATTTGCAAGGGCTAGTGGCTTCCTGCTTCTCTGAGTGAAAACTGGAGAAAATTACCAGCTCTCTGGGTCCTAAAATGAGAGCTGCTAATCCATTTCCTTCAAGAAAATATTCAGAAGTGTTTGTCCTCTTACCAAGATGGTAAATAGCATTTGCAAGCTAGAAAGTTGTTACTGACAAATTCTTGCACCTAGGACAGTCTGGTAGAATTTCAGGATGTAATGATTTTCAGCCTTACCTTTGGTCCTGGGAGGCCCTGAAGACCCTGTATTTGGGAGGAGAGACAAAATATGACTAATGTTTAAGGATGTGCTTTAAAATGCAGGTATCCCAGTTCAGCGTGCAGCGTATAGAGCTTTCACTTTCTGACACACAGAGGGCACAAATGCTTAGCCTCTTTATTTGTGTAAAGGGCACTTCATGTACTGTTCTCATCTGGCAATGAGGAGGCTCTTGCCAAGAACAGCCTGGCAGTGGGCCAGGCTTGCTATTAAGACCATTTTTGCAGTTGATCCCTTTAATCCCATCCATCTCCTCTTGCTGCTGTCTTCCCTTTCATCTCAGACTAACATAGCCTTCTCTCTTTACCTACCCAGCCCATCGTAGCTCTGACCTACCCTGGGGAGTGGTTTTGGAAGTGATACTAAGCATGTTCCTGCGTCAACGCTGCAGTGTTTCTGGCTGTTTTCTCCACCCAGAATCCTCCCCACCCACTTCCCACTCTATTCTCAATTCCCAGTGCCTTGCTCCTCAGGTGAATCACTCAAAACTTACTGGAGGTCCTGGTGGGCCTTGGGGTCCAGGGGGGCCAGACAGCTAGAAAGCAATGCAAAAGAAGTCACTGTCATGATCTGCTGCCCTCAGAGGTGAAGGGCAACTGTTCAGAGGGAAGGCAGAGCACAGGGTGCAGCTGAGCTCTACTGGGCTTGGAAACCTGGGCTTGCCCTAAGGACTGTGTTAGGAAGTGGCAGCAATACAGGACAGAGTGGCTGAGAAGCAGCAGCAGGACTCTGGGGAGGGTCACACAGCAGCTGCAGAGATTTAGGAAGAAAGAGAGCAGTGATTTTTTTTTTTTTTTCTGAAAAAGGTCCACTTCCACTACTCTACCACTGTTCCTGCAAGGAGGTATAAGGGCAACGGCTACCAGCTGTTTCAAAAGACAGGGGAGAAGAGGGCTGGCACCACACACAGACAACAGCGTATTGATAGCCTGTGGGACTCCTTGCTGCAGGGCCCTACAAAAGCTAGGCATGAGATTTGAGGGGGAGAATGGACAAATTCATAAACCCAAAATCTATTAAAAAAAAATCATATACAGATACATGCAGGTGTTGTTCAGGAAATCCCTTCACTGTAAATGCTGAAGAAAATATTTTTTATGCTTTACATGCTCTTCTGTTCTTCCCTAGGCACTCGTTATTGATTGCTTGTGGCGAGCTACATTGTTCTTGTGTAAATGAGAAGTAGGGCATCAGGAGCTAGAGGTGGCTGGCAATTCAATCCCACAAGATGAGGCTCACTGTCCCCAAGGAAGGGTGTGTCATGAGAAGGTGGGATGTGCTGGTTTTCAGCAGCACTGCTGCGAAATCATCCCTCCCCTACTGCCGAGATTGCAGAAGGAAAACAAGAAACGTGACCTACCGATTCTCCTGGATTTCCTTTGTCTCCACGCTCCCCAGGCTCGCCCTTCTCTCCCTGCAAACAACAGACCCCGTCACCACCAGCTGCACTCTGGAGTCTCACTCCATCAGGAGCCATCCGTAAACAACCCATATGCTGAGAAGCAGCAGCTCCCCAAAGGATTAGGAACGTACCATGTATTTCACAAACAGCTCACCTGTGGCTCTCCTGCATCTCTGCTTCCAGAGAAGACACCCTACAAAGAGGGAGGCCTCTAGGAGTGTTATCTCATGGCTGTGCAAAGGCAGCACCACAGGACTTTGCTTGCCTTTCCCTAACAGTGGCCTGACGTCTCTCTGCTGCACTACAACCTCTAAGGGAGGAAGCACGGCAAGCAGGTCAGCAACGGTGCCATGCTGCCAGCAAACTGGCCATCTTGGCTGACTTAGCCATGCAGGCTCTGTGGGCAGCTGCTGGAGCCAGCACCTTCAGATGGCAACGGGAGGAGATGCCCAGCTGGCCTTCTGCCTGATGCTGGAGACTTGACCTAGTGGACATCTGGTGACACTTAAGCACCTAACTCTAAGGGATCAGGGTCTGAGGCTCCCGTGATACTCGGTGCTTTGGGAAAAGAACCCTCATGTGTTGCTCCATGTTGTTTTCTCTGTGCCAAGTGGGAAAGAGCAGCCTGTCTTTTTCACTCTTACTGTTAATCCTGGAAGTCCAATGGGACCCGGCAATCCTGACGGTCCTGGCATGCCTTGATCACCTCGTTCGCCTTTCTCTCCAGTGGGGCCATCAAGACCCTATGGATCAAAAAAGATTTGCGGATTTTTTTGCAAGACTAATTGAGGCAGACATAAACATCATTGCAAGAGCTAAGACTGGCTCTAGTCATTCCAAGAAACCCCAGACAACTTTCAGATGCCCAGGGAAATGCAGGGCTTCACTAGTATTGAAACTGGATGCGCAAATGCCTGGACATCCTGTCATTGTAGATGTGCCAGGCCCCAGAGCAGGGATGAGGGACTGCTTTCCTGCCTCCAGGTTCTGCTCACAGTTACGCAGTTTGTGACAGCGAGAGTTTTATCCTAGTAATCTTGTAAAGATGCAGAAACTCATTGTAAAAAACCCTCTTGACTAGTGCTGGGGACACAGAAGTTGTGACAGACTGAAGCTGGGAGACTGGGCACTCTGCCCCAGTTAGTGACAGGGACGTAAGGGGTTACCCCGTGCGGTTGCCCTCCCAGGAGAGTGTGTGTGCTGGTACCTCAGCTGCCTTGCTTGTAGCCAGGCTTGCTTGCTTACAGCAGCCTTTCAGTTTAAGCAATATGCCAGGCAGCAAGCTGAGGAAGGGACACAGTGCCCAGAGAGCAGGGCAGGCAGCTGGGGCCAACCACTCTAGCAAGATGGACAACACATCTGCCAGGGAGCCAAGACCTCGGTTCTGTATTGGTACTCTTCATACAGCAATGAGGTGCTTCCAGTACCCACCTCGGAGAGGCTCCGAGGTATTCGGGAAGTTCCAGGACCTTGCCCCATAACCTGAATGGCCAGCAGTGCTCTGAGAGGCTTTGGTTTACTCACCGGTGAGCCAGCTTGTCCTGGCTCTCCTTTATCACCCTTTTCTCCTGTGACCCCAATATGGCCTGGCTCTCCCTTTGTTCCAGGTGCTCCATCCTTTCCTGGCAGTCCATGAGGGCCAGGGGGGCCGATTTCTCCAGGCTTGCCACGTGGTCCCTAAAAGAAATCCACACAACAGAGTGAAACATTTACAGATAAGAGTAAGGTTACTCCTGCAGAGCAACTCCCTGGCGCAGAGCCTCCTTCACTGCTCATCCTCTCACCCACAGTAATGCCTTTTCAGGAGTCATGGGCAGGACAAAGTAGATTCGCCATGCCACCCCAGCGACTCCTTGTAAGTTAGGACTTTAATAAACCATTAATGCTCATTTTCGTGAAGCAAAATATTAATTTCACCTGTGGGAAAAGCAACTGTGCAGTGTCAGTGACAGAGATGTAACACTAGCTCCAGGTAAGACCACTGAAGGAAAGGGCAATCCACAGAGGCACCGTGTCTTACCTTTTCTCCGTCATGGCCTGGAGGACCTGGCAAGCCAATTTCACCCTGAAACATAAAATTGTTATTTTGGCAGTTTGAAAGCAGCTATTCTGACTCCTTCTGCGAGGCATTGGGATGATGAAGGGTGGGCATTGGCATTACAGAAACAGTCTGCAGGGACTCCAGTAACTAACAGTCACAGGAAAAAAAAAAAGCATGGAAACCTCTGTTGAAACAGTACATTGTGTGAATTCTGAAGAATTTCACCATCCTTGTTTATCCTGACTGATAGTTCATGGCCTCAGTGCTATAACATAGTCCCCAACCAACACAATCCCCACACAGAGATCAGTTCCCATAAGCTGCTTCCTAAAGGGGAGGGCAAGTACAAAGGATCCTCCATCTTTCAGATAAGGCATTATCATTGTGGGAAAAGAGATTTTTTTCAGGATATCGTGCGTGAGGAGGAGTGGTAGAGGCCAGCAGGACAGTCTGATAGTGCTGGACAGGGAGAATAGAAGCACTGGGGAGGGCTGAGTGTGGGAATACTGCCTGGACCACTCCTGTGTTTCCTTTAGTTCTGCAAGTGTTGAACTGAGCAAATACCTTCTGTCCTGGTGGCCCGGGAGGTCCAGCCACACCCGGAAGTCCTGGGGGTCCCTAGATAAAGAAAAACTTTTTTTTTTTCAGATTATCAACAGAGCTTTCATTGTCGTGTTTTGAAACCAAACAGCTCTTCTGAGCTTAAGGGGAAATCGTGGGGGAATTTTCTCAGGGACTTCTAAAATTGCCTTTGCTTGGGAAGCCGAGCAATGGAAAGTCCTGAGTGAGCCCCAGGCCAGTCCAAAATGAGTTGTAGATACGTATATATTTCTTTACATTTTCACTGAAAAAAATGAAAATGACCACAGCTATCTGCTCCTGAAACTGAGGTGAACTTAACAAGGTTTCCCTTTCCTATCTACAAAAGTACATTTTTTGGAATAGAGATCATGGGAAACACTGTACTACTTAGATCCCAAGCACAGCTTAAGCGGAGGTAAAAGGCATTAGTATTTTGAGCAGATTTCCTGGTCAGCCTTGGCAGTTATCACTTTAAGGAGACCTAGGGAGCAGTTTGCCTCAGCAAGTGATGCTACTTACAGCCATTTTGAGCTGCCTTGCCATACTGCATTTTAAAAATCCATCTTTTTTTCCTAACCAGGTTTCTTGTCCTGAGAAGTTTTTTACCCGAGGCCCCCCCCCCCCCCCCCCCCCCCCCCCGTATTTCAGCTCAAAATAGCTGCTTTGCCTCTGTTTGTCTTCGAAGAGCTTGTAGTCACTGCTGTTCTAAAGTTTTCCTGCTTTGGTCAGCCCCCCTTGCTCTCCCCTGCCCCTTCTGAGCACTCCCTGTTCCAAGCAGCGTGTCTTACCTCTCAAAGCAGAGAAACAAAGGGCCAGATTGGAATTCAAGTGCCAAGATCAGAAGGCAAGAAGAGCTTTTCCTTTAGTTGTCAGGTGCCTCAACTTTAGCTCCCAACAGCAAAGGCCAAATGTTTTAACTGTGTCTAAATTGGCAGGTCATCTGCTTAGGATGAACATATAGCTACTTGCTTGAAACCACACAGTGATGTTAAGAACTCACCATCAAGGCCAAAGTTCGTATTTCCTAGAAGAAAGGAAAAAAAAAAAATCAAAAAGGGAAATAGCCATTTGAAAACTAAGCTTTTTCCTGGAGGTGGTTTGTTCTCCACTAATGTAACACTGACCCAAATGAGCAAGGAGCCTACAAAATGAACAAAGGCAAAAAACTCCAGCTCTGAGTCCCACCGAGACGTTATTCTGTGATTTCTCCTTTTTCAAGTAGAATCCAGGCTAAGCCAGAGCTGGGCACAGCTGCTCGCTCACCACAGACCATCAGTTCATGCTTCTGAGGAAGCTTTGCAGTGATTTCATTCACCACCTATCCCAAGTCATGGGCCACTCTTGAGGGGATTCACACGACCTCTATGTCCACCAGGGTTAATATAGCAACTAAACAAGGTGCACAAGTATTTACCAAAACACTACATGCAGTGAGCTGTGAGATGAAGGGGACTAAGGAACAACCAAGTACTTCATTTTGCTTCTACTGCCAAGGAAGCAGATCGACACTGTTCTGCGTTTTCTGCATCCCCTGGGAAACAGTAAAGCACCCAGTGGTTACCTTGTGGGACAGGAGGGCAGTTGCTCACCTGGAGAGCTTCACTGATGTTACCATCGTAGTCCATCATGTCATCTTTCCCAGGTTCTCCTTTGGGGCCCTGCAAAATATCAGCTCTTTAGCCAGGGCTTGGGGATTGTCTGCCCAAGGGGTACTCAAAACTGTGGTTCCCCCTGAAAAAAGGGTCTCAGAAGGGCCTATTTAATGAGCCTCCAGTTTTTCCTTTATTAAACAAAGTTCTTAATAGCACATTTTCTAGAGGAAACACTACCAAACTGTAGCCAGACAAGCCCAGATCACCATGCCATGATCAAAGCTGGCAGGTCTGGTAAGTGGTGAAGTTGAGGCGAGAATCCAGGAACCGGATCTTCTGACTGATTGTCAGACTTGGGCATACACGAATCACCCTCCTGCTACCCTTTGCTGATATGCCAAGGGCCTGAGTTCAGACTGGGATGTCCAAACCCACCTGGAAATGAGTGGAGCATTCACCCTGAGGTGGCTCAGAAGACTTTCGCCTCCTAAGGTGGTGATGTCTTCTCATAAGGGTACAGAGTGGACAAATGGCCTGTCTCAACCTTAGCCGCTGCCCAGCTATAAACACTTCCAGTAATGGTGAGAACATCTGTCAAGAGAGGCCAAATCTAGACTCTCAGTGTGGTCCCACTTAGACCTCTTTGAAGGGTCAAAACTTCCCAAGTGCTAGTGAAGGGACACCTACCCTTGGGCCCATGGGTCCCTGGTCTCCCGGTAAACCAGGTTCTCCCTGAAACAAGAAGGAACATGCTGTTAGCAACCCTTCACTTGCTCAGACTCCAGGAATTGTTCTCTACTAGTCCTCTCAAACAGTCTGGGATGAGACAGCTCAGTTTTAAAATGCTCCTTTTCAGCTAAGTTTTGTACATGTAGGAACAAATTTGCAGCCACTGAACCCGGAACTGAGTTGTGCAGAAGCACTCTGTACCTTTTCCCCCTGTGACCCTGCAGTGCCAGGCTGGCCAACGTCACCAGCTTCTCCCTGAGAGAAAGAGAAAGGGAAAGGGATGGGTTTGTATTGTGTGGAGGGGGTGTGACTCCACCGCTGGCTTTGCATTTCCAGGAGCAAGAACTGCACCAGCCAAGCGCCCCTGCTGTGTCCTCTTCTCCTCGGGTAACCCAAATCTCCTGCCATGACTTCACACCAGCTGCCCTTCTACCCAGTGCAGAGGGAGTACTCAGCGTGAAGGAAAGCACCCAATTCAGACCCAAAGGAAGTGCACAGGAGGGCTGTTCCAAGTACATCCGAGACAGGATCTCCAATTCAAACATTCTTGGTGTCCTTTGCCAATGGGCAGGATTTTACTGCTGCCACTCCTTGAGGAGGTAGAAGAGGAAGGAGAGAGGAGACTTGGAGGGCTTCTGTCCTGCCTCCCTGTGTTCACCCTACCTCAGGAACCACAGGGACTAGAGGTTGTTGTTGATTCTGAGCGACTGGTTTCTCACAGAGCCTAAACAGGGGTTATTTGAGCACAAAGAGGGTATTTTCCTCCCAGAAACACAGTTTACAAATTCTCTCACCTTCAGCACTTAAACCAACACAACTAAAACACTCTGCAGAACCTGATATCCCTTCAGCAGGTAATCAGAGGTGGGCACAGATGAATGCAACCTTTGCCCCTTCCTGCACAGCTCGTGCTGGGCACAGTCCCTCACAACACACAACTCACCAGAGGTAAAAAAACTCACTTTTGGTCCGGGGGGCCCGGGCAGACCTGGAGGGCCGGGTTCCCCTTTACCTCCTGCCAGGGCATTCTCAGTATTTCCCTTCTCTCCCTGTTTGCAAGGAAGAACAAGCCATGTGTCACAGTTCAGTCTCTCCCTCTCTGTAATTTCACTTGCCAAACTGTTGGCTTAGAGAGACAGGGCACAAGACAAGGTCCACCAGCTGGCCTCTTGGTAGCCCAGAAGCATCACTGCTCCAGAGCCACCAGCTGTCCAGGAACCAGGCCAAGAGAGTTCTGCCTGGAGGCTCCACTAGTGCCCCGCCAGCAGTCACAGCTATCCTCATCCCTTTGACTGCAGTGCTGCGGCTCAGCCCTTATTCCCCAGGGCCATACAAGGCTGCCTGTGGACAGACCTCATCTCCCAGCCTCCAGTTTGAAGACAACTGTTTTCTTCTTTGTTGAAACTGAGCTGATAAAGCCACCTGACAATGGCTTTTTGTGGTACATCTCCCTCTGGGGTCACAGTCATCAGTCAGATAGTCAGCCCTGCAGACTACATCCTTTGCACAGAGCAGATAAAGGCAGTAAGAGGAAAGCTTTGCTTGGACCCAGTTGCCATTATATTCTCATCCTTTCCCAAAACAGCCACTGTCATTCAGCACACCATCCCCTTTCCCAAAGGAAAAGCACCCTGTGAAAGTCTGACTTGAAAGGCGCGATTTCTATCCATGTCTCAGAGCACAGGGAAAAAGCCACAGTTTCAGAGCTTCGCTTCAGCTGACCTGCCCTGGGTCTCTCCGAGCAGAAGGCTACTCTTCCAACTCAGAGAACAGCAGCGCAGCTCCCAAAAAGCCCATCTCCTCCTCACACATGGATCTCAAAGCAGGAGGGAGGCTGAAACACCACATTACATCTAAGGTCATGCTTTTAAAGGGGAACTGCTGGTACACAATTCCATGATCACGTTCCCAGGACCACAGCCTCCCCCTCACTGCATGAAAGCATGTGATTCCTCACAAAAAGGCATCCTTTGTGTGACCCTGTCACACCCCTGACTGCAGTTTCTTACACTGACATCCAGCTGAGCTCTGCAGAACATGCTGCTGTACACGGCAACAGTGGCCTAAGAGCGCATGAGCTGTACACAGCTGGCATGGGATGGAGGAAGGAAAGGGGATGTGAGTGGCCTCCCCCCCCCCAAAAAAAAAAAAAAAAAAACAAAAAAAACCCCAAAACATCAGAGAAGATACAAACCTTCAAGCCAGGGAGCCCAGGAAGCCCAGGGTCACCAGCTCGTCCCTTCTCACCCTGTTGGCAAAACAGATATGGTTGGGCCGACTCTGCAGGCTCTCTGTCCTGGAGGAGCAGCCGAAGGATGAGATGCTCCTGGTTTTGAACCCTCTTTGCCTTCTCCAGGGGATTTCATTTTAGGCATAAACAAGGCATCCTCCAGCAGTACCTGCTCAGGACGGTGAATGTTTTCTCCTGTGCTTTTGACTATCTCTGCATATCATTGCCGTTTCTCCCCAAAGGAAGGTGAGTGGTAAAGGGATCCAGGATCCCCCCGGTGCACCTTCCTTATCGTTCTGGTCTGCTAAACCCTTTTCCCTGTCAGTCCTTCAGCTCAGGCTCTCACCATTCCACATACCCAGATAAGTTGTTGCCCAGGGCGAATTCTATTTGGAGCACAGGACTTTCTCTGTGCTCTGATAGAGTGCAGCTCTTTTCACAGAAGCTGCCCACTGCTTGAGTCCATCCCAGTTTTCACACCTCCTCGTTACACTGTGAAATACACTGCTTTGCTTTGGCAAAGATCCCACAACCAGCATTCCCACACCTCTCCCAAGGGGCGTTTCCTTCTGCTGTTCCCTAACTTCAAATCCCAGTCGCATCATGCTCTTAAAGCAGTGCAGTATCTCAGTTCGCAGCCAAGCTCTGTGACACATACTGGTTGTGAAAAGCAGGGAAAAATGGCAAAGACAGAAGATGATGGTGTAAAACAATGCCTGGAGAGCAAGACCTGCAGGCTGAGCTGCACGGGGCACCATGGAGCATGGAGGATGCCACAGGGCAGTGAGCAGCAGAGGGCATCCAGCATTCACTTGGTGAAGTGACTTTGCTTAGTTCACCATGACATCCGGGTCATCTTTTGAATATTGGCGCTCTATTAGTGGTCTTTATGTTGAAGTTAAGCTCTATTCATCCCATTCCATCCAGCTGCTAAACCAATGGTTTCCAGCTACAGTGTCCTGTTCAGGAGTCTGCATTTTGCCAGGGCAGAGAGTGATATCAGAGGCTTCTGTTACCATGAAGAGATGTTTCAAACGCATCATCAGAAAAAGGTGTGTTTTCACCTGCAACCCCCACACCTCCAAGACTTAACAACTTGTACAGATTACAAAGAACAATTCAAAACCTTTCCCCCAGCAGCTGCCTAGCTCTGCCCACAACAGCAGAGTTAGAGTTCCTCCTGCTGCCATGCTGTTGCCTGCAGAAGCTGGTGCTGCACACCAGTCTCATCAGAGCTCAAGAGCACACACCTGACATGCAGGGGGTTTGCATTAGTGCTCCAGGTACAGACATGCACTGGTGGCTCCGTGGAAAACAATTAACTAGCAGCAATCTTTTTTTCTTTTTTAGGCAATTCTAGAGTGCAGTGACCCCTTTCTCTAAGGCAATTTGGCCTCCAGCCACCTGTAAGGCCCCCACCCAACTTGCCTCCCCTGCTAGAGCATGCACATCACTGCCATAAGTTAACGCTTCTCTCCATGGAAAGAAGGAAAACATTTGCAGGACCTCACGCCCAGAAAAAAGGTTTTGGCCTTTGGGGTTTTTGTAAGGATATAATTTCTAATCCTGTCCCAGGCCTCTGTGAATCCCTGATTCTGCCTTGCTCGGCTTTTGGTATCCTACTTTTCATTCAAGGACTAGTTTTCAATACACATGCCCATAAAGGCTGCTGGAAACATCCTATGCTGCCTGAACAATGGTATGAAGAAGCAAATTTCTCAGTGAGGGAGGTCAGATTACTGAATCCCTGTTTAGCGTGTTATTTCTGGAGTCGAAAGATGCAGCACTGTCCTCGATCGTTCCCAGGACAAGACTGCACCCCAGACATCTCACGCTGCCCTGCCTGCCACCAGCCCCCCGCCTGCTGCAAGCAGGAACATGCAAACACACTTCACCAAGGGGGAAAGAGCCAGAAAAGGACACGTAATCCCCCATAAGCGCAACAACGCAACACAAAGCAGGCTCCCGCTCGCAGGGAACACAGCACAGCACTGCCAGGACGCCAAACACAATGTCCTACCCGCTGCCCCCTCTTCCCTGGCAAACCTGGGGGGCCCATCCTTCCTGGGACTCCAGGATTTCCCTTCATGGGGAAGAAAAGAGACAGAGAAGGTGTCTGTTATACGGCTGTCGCACACTGTAACACAACCCAGCGAGCCTCAAACAAGAGAAGCCAGCTGTTGAGAAACCAAGCCGGCTGCTTACTGATGGAGAGCAATGGGATATTTTTGTACCGTGCCCGCCATGGGAACTCAAACCAGGTCACGCTACACTGAGGCAGGGGAGCCTGTGCAGGGCAGTTCATGTGGCGCATGACAGAACAGCCCCCTGCAACAACATGGGAAGACTTCTGGTGGACACAGAAGGACTGGGAGGCGGAAGGGGACAAGGGAAGGGGGAGAGGGAATGTATTTGCTAAGCAGTATGCTGTGCATGTTTTCTGGAGTAGGGAAGAAAGGAGGAAGGCAGCTGGAGGGTATTCCCATCGACACAGACACGAGCAGGAGGGAGGGAATCCATTTGCAGTACAGTCCCTCTCTCACTAGGCATCACTGGGTGCTACTATCATTTTTCTTACACTGGCAGGTGCCATTAGGGCCTGGATTTGGGCACTAGGAAGTACAGAACCATTCCTCAGCTCCCTTGGCTGCTCTGGGAGGGGAAAAATACACAAACAAACCAGTAGTGCAGGGTCAGAGCAAAGCCTTCTGAGAGTACCTTTTCTCCTGGAGTCCCGGGCTCGCCCTGGTGAGGAAGAGACAGGAAAATAAAGTGAAAAAACAGGAGAAGAGCGTACATATCCTCCTAGAGCTATCAGAGTGGAGGAAAGAATCTACAGAGTCCTTGGGCTTGTAAATAAGGGCATGAGGATGCTTTAAATACGTGTTAGTATTTGTGCCTGGAGCTTATTTTAGCGTCATTAGCCAGCTCCTAGGCTGCTGCAAGAAACCAGCAAGCCTCAGAATTGCCAGCAAGTGATTTTCATCACCAAGCTGGAGAGGGACTTTTTACAAGGGCATGTAGTGATAGGACAAGGGGCAATGGATTTAAACTGAAAGAGGGGAGATTTAGATCGGATATAAGGAAGAAATTTTTCACTCAGAGAGTGGTGAGGCACTGGAACAGGTTGCCCAGAGAAGTTGTAGATGCCCCATCCCTGGAAGTGTTCAAGGCCAGGCTGGATGAGGCTTTGGACAACCTGGTGTAGTGGAGGGTGTTCCTGCCCGTGGCAGGGGGGGTGGAACTAGATGATCTTTGAGGTCCCTTCCAACCCAAACCATCCTATGATTCTGTGATTCATAAGACTGAGCAACCACCTTGCAGTATTTAAAGAGACACAAGAGAGCATAACGAGACAAGACTCATCTGCTAGCATTAAGGAATTTGCCTACTCCTAGTTCTGCATGTGCAGGAGCGGAGCAAGGCTGCGGTTGCAGCTGGGGTTGGCGAGAGGCTGCATTGCTACAGGATGAATGTGGCACCAAGGAGGAAAATCGTCCCCACCAGCCCTTGAAACAACATCTTTGTTTCTGTATTCTCCCCAGCAGCTGGAAGGGCTCAGGACAACGGGTCGTTGTCTGATTGTGCATCTTGGATCCCCGGGGTAACTTCTAGCCCCCCAAATCTGCACGTGGCCCTTTGCTCTGGTGCCACTCCGACACTGCTGTGGAGTATCAGGAGTTCACCAATCTGCTGCTGGAGACGGGGGTAGTGTCTCTGCGGAAAGCGACAGCAGTTCTGATACTGCCCTTTAGTGGGAGCTGTCCGACCATGTTCCTGTGCCTGGTGCTCTCCTAACTCCAGCCCTTGCTCCGGAGCGTGCCCTACTCAAAGCCATCGCAGCGTAGCGTAAAACTGACCTTCAGCCCTGCGGTGGCCGTCCCGGGAGCGCCCTGGCAGAAAGAGGAAAGACAGGAACACGTTGTTTGAAATGAATCAGCCACAAACTTTTAAAAACAAAACAGTATCAGCCAGGTGGAACTAAAAAGGCAAAACCCACATCTTTTCCTTTCCAAAACTCAGAAGTAACACTGTAACATCACGCAGCAGGCCTCCTCCTTCCCTGTGAGGTCATTCGCCTATGGCAGTGGCTCTGCTTTCCAGAAAGCTCCCCCAAAGGCAGGCATCCATGAGCACAACCCAGTCGAGACCACCAGATTTCCACCCCCCGGTTTTAGTCTTGCAAGCAAAGCAAAGGCCAACAAGCTGAACAGTGTCAAGTAACTGAGGAATGCAAAGACAGACTGAGGACCAAACACCCAGTCCAGCGTTTGATCCCAGATACATCAGCTCAAGCATCCCAAGAAAGGCCAGCTCGTACCCCAGAGCCTCGGTCTCTCTATTTCCCCTCATTCTGTTTTTATCACAGAAGACAAACCCTGCAGTAAAATGTTTTCAGGAGAGCTCTGAAGCCAGCCACCTTAGGGGAAAAAAAAAAGACTTCCAAGCCCTGCAATTCAGGTGCCATCCTGCAGCGCTGAGCAAGCCACCACCATGAGACCACTGAGACCCTGCAATCCGAGAGGTGCTTCAAAACCTCAGGAGGCAGCTGCTCCCACAGGGACAGTCACATTTCCCTCGACAGCATTGATGAAAAAAGCAGGTTCTCCCTATCAACCCTTTGCTCTGAAATCTCTGTATGCCCTGTGTTAGTATTAGTTAGGTCCTGAAAAGGTCCAGTTACAAAAGCAAATATGAGGGATAACAAAGGTCTAAGGAGACGGGAGGAGGTGAAGTAGTGTTAGAAGTTGGGAAATGAGATGAGCTGGGATATAGTACATGAGACAGAGAGAAGGACTGGGAGCCAAGTTCAAAGTGAAAAGAGCTTGGAAAAGTTCAAACAAGGAGTGGGGAGCCAGAGAGCAGCAGGATCATACCTCTCAGCTTTCTGAAACAGAAATCAGGGACAAAGCTAAAAAACACAAGGACAGAAGATGGAGATCAGGGATTCTATGCAATAAACGGGGGGGAAAAAAAGCATTCCAGATCGTCTCAGGGGTCAGTAGGTTTTAGAGAAT